TAATATTCATCCTAGAAATACCCTGCGGATTTCATTTTCCCCATATCATCGATAAGTGCCATATGCCTTCAGCATTTTACATTTTGAAGAGAGTTTCGGTTACACTTACAGCTTGTTGGATCGCCTCGCGGTCTACATGGTGTGTCAATAAATAAACTTGACCCATTGTTTTTCTTTTTTCGTTGTATGAGGACAAAATGGAATGGCACATAACTTTATAATTATGTGATGAATAATGCTACGATCACAGAGACTTTCAAGAAATCGACTAAAGGGCAACTTCAACATCTAAGAAAGCCAAGTTCGGATTACGTAATATTTGTGTCGTCGTAATGTTAGCACACTTCTAAAGGTGATGAAAATACGGTTGAAGCTGCTTTAGTTCGATTTCTCGAAGGTCTTTGCAATCGTGTTCAATGCGGTATTGACGCACCGCTATAAAAGCATCATTGCATTGAAAATTTAGTACTAAATGGATGCAGTTGTTGGTAACAAAAATTGGCTGTGTCCCAGTATTCTGGTTGTTTCTCTATTTGGGTCATTAGGGCAATACAGCATCTCGATACTATAAAGTTAAGTGAGCTTTTCATCATTTTTTTTTTATTGAAGCACCCTGTAACATAGGATAAGCAGAGGCAGGAAACAGTTTAGAGAATAGTTTCATTTACTGCATGACTTTCTCGGAAAATTTGGTACAATATAATGCAGTTGCTAACATAATTGGTATATCATGGTAAACTGGTTCCGTATTTGGGTCATGCATTCCGCGCAGTCTGTAAGTTGAGTAACCCTGTTTTATTTTTATTCAACACCTGTAATATCGGATTACCATACGCATGGAAAGCAGTACATGGAACGTACATGTAGTTTTATTTCATGCTTGCGGGCTTTATCTACTTCTCTGTCTCGTGCTTCCATCCACTCATCTTCGCGTTCTTCCATACCCGTTATTCCAAGGGTGCTACCAGACCAATCAAAATAAGGAGGGTGTTATGCGGGGGGGGGGGGGGTGTTGTCGAACCAAATTTACTAAGAGGTCTTACAAAATAATATGAAAAAAAAGGATGAAAACGGGTCATTTATTTTTGCACTTTGACGATGGATCTTTAACAGAAAATGCTGAATATGTATGAGGTGTAGTTATATTTCATGATTGCGGGCATTATCTGCTTCTCTGTCTTGTGCTCCCATCCACTCATCTTCGCTTTCTTCCATACCCGATATTTCAAAGGCGCTATAAATCAGACCAATCAGAATCAGGGGGTTGGGTGCTGTCGGAACAAATTTACCAAGAGGTTTTACAAAATAATATGCAAAAGAAAGGAGGAAAAGGGGTCATTTATTTGTGCAATTTGTCGAGTATCTAAGACAGAAAATGCTGAATGACGAGGTATCATTCCGGCCCCCTTTCCCTTTTAATAAGCGAAACTCCTATATGCAGCAGCATCATCAGCCAGCTTTTACCTGTTTTTCACTGATTTGAGCTGGCAGTACTGAATGTTGTAGGTGTATTAAGGCACACGTCACAATCTTGGAAAGAGATTAAGAGAGTGAACGTGATGAAGATAGAAATTCGATCATTTAGACAGATTAGAAGACCTAATTTAAAGTGCCAGTCAAAGCCTTTTACCTTATCGCTTTCGAAGGGGTTGCCACACAAAGTCATAACTAAACTTTGAAATGTTTTATTTGAAATTTCAACTTTGCCTAGATAAAAAAGGAGAAAGCTATAAAAGAGGAGGAGAAAAGAGTCAAACACCAACGCCCCTTTCTGACGACATCCCTGTTTAAAGAAAAAAAACATGTAAAGCCCCATATAATTCTTTGAAAAAAGATTTTCATCTTCTGGAAAGGAAACGTGCTAAAACAGCATCTACACGAAAACCTGATATATAATTTTAAGAGCTCTGCGCCTTGGAAGGGAATTCTAACAAATCTAAAGGGGTCGGTTTTTCTGGTTTATGATTATTGAGAAATGAACCACAACAACGCACGTGTGTTATTTGTGGACATTTTCGCATTTGGTGTTTGGCTGAAAGTAATTAAGTGGTTATGGCGTTAAAATATGTTAAAGAAAATAAACATACCCTATTGTTAATAAAGTAAGCTGAAGATCAGTGAGTTATATAAAATAAATAATACTGATAATTTTATTACCCAGGAAAGCCTCATCAGCATCAATGCTGTTCTTCCAGTGAGGGCCCTGCCATTATCATTACCCCAGTAATTGGCAGGTATCCATTTACACCTGGGTAGAGAGTTGCAACTGTAGATTAATGTCTTGCCAAAGGGTGTTATTGTCGGGGGGGGGGGGGGGAAGGAACACTCAACCATTGGATTGAGAGTCAAGTGAATGGACATAGTTATATACCACGACACTTCCACATCACTTAACCAAACTTATATTTGAAATTTTTCCTCTTTTATGTATTTTTTAATTAATTTTTTTTTTTTTTTTTTTTTTACCTTAATTTTTCTTTGTGGCGGGGGCTACAAATTCCCGTTTTGCGCCCCTAAAAAGAAGCAAACGAATTGTGTCATACTTGAAGCTATTTTATCTACTACAAATTTCCTCACATATAAATTCGCACTCATCGTTTATTTGATATATTTCTAGGGTTTATTTGATTGAAATATAACTCAAATGAGACGAAATCTTTGTTCTGTCTTAACATGAGTCACGATTGATCTGAATAAGTTCCCAATGCATGATCCAGTAACTGGATGACTAGCGATTAACTGAGTTCAATCGCACGTTTTGTATACCCTTGTATACATAACATTCCTATATGATATGATATTACCAGCAAGTTTATGTTTCAGCGTATCCCGTTACTATTGTGCTATTGGTTGTAACATTAATGAGCACTATAATTTAAAACGGAGATATTAATGGTATTATTACGTCCATAAAATAAAAGTTTTATCACATCAAATATACCTGTTACACGATCGCAACTCCTTTCGAAGAATCAAACCAAGGGCAATTTTAATACCCTATCGTATATCCAACAGTCACTGTCAGATTACGTAATATATACTTGTGATGATGATGAAATGTAATAAACAAGATTATTGAAATTTCCTTTAAAGATTAAAGATATAGACCAGTTTTGGAAAAGCCCCCTCTCAAAAAATGAAATGGAAGCTTTTATTACCAATCATGTGAAAGAATATGTTTTGACTAATATGTGATGATACAAATTATGCCGGGAAACCGCCTACTAATTGATATATTTGGTAAATTATCATATCTATCCGGACTGGATAGATATCGTGTAGTCCCATATATATCATTCTGTGTACAGCGCTTGTGACTTTACCAAGACTGGGCCAAATTTTCTTATCATTTTGATGATTTAAGAACCTTGCAGTACACACCAATACTTATATGCTAGATGATCAACCTTTTCTGATCGATTCCATAACGTTTCTTTCACAATGCAATCGCATGACCAGATAATTAAATTTGGAATAAAGGGCAAGATAAGAGAAAAAAAAACACACAATGCAAAGACAGCGCATATGTTATGTTTATTTGAACAAAGGTGCAATCAATCATGTAGAAAATCTAAAACTTTTATTTGATACAATTAATTATCATGACAATTAAAAGAAAATTCCAGGCCATGCTAGTAGTAGCCCGGGATTATTATGTTTTGGTTGCATTTTCATTCAATACAAATCAAATTCATCGATTTCATTTTGTAAAATGTAGACTTCATTCCAGCAGCGAATAAGAATAGAAATATTTAAAATGCATAACAAAAGAATCTATAACATATTCCGTGATTATTATGATGATCATTTAAAAAGGATTGCAAAAACAGCAAACTACATGTCTAACCTTAAAATAATAATGAAGTAATAATAATAATTACATAATAATAATAATAATAATGATAATAATAATGATAATAATGATAATGATAATGATAATAATAATAATATTAATAATAATGATATTAAAACTAATAATTTTACTAATAGTACTTCTATCAATAATCGTTATAATAATAATAATTATAATGATAATACTAGTACCACTAATAATAATATGGCCGTTTTACCTAGGGTAGCTTCATCAGTATTCATACTGTGATCCCGAGGGCCCCGAAATCAAATCATTACCCCAGCTATCCATATCCATGACGCGATATGTAACATAATAAAAGTAATGTTTACTAAATGTTATTTTAATAGATATATATATTTATTCAAATATGTGTTGTACGTTCATATAATTCAACTTTTTACTGTGATCAAGGAGGGACAACTAAGTTCCATTACAGAGAATGCTGAGTTCTGGTTAAGGAAAAAGTATTTGAGAGGTTTCTCCTTCTTTTTATATCAGTGTAGAATATAATGATAATAGAAATGTTTCCGGATAAGAAATGGTCCTTAACTGCCCTTATAATGTATGTCGTGACTAGAAGTTATTTAAAAGTTTGGAATAAAAAAAAAAACCAGGCCACTTGTGTTTATATAATCCCAACTGAAAGAAGTGGTCTAAAAAGTGTTAAATATTTCTACCAAGATATTTATCGGCGTATGAAGTTTGAATTAACAGTAAAAATCATTTGTTTTCAAAAGTGACATTATTTCATGATACTATTAATGCATGATACAATATTTACAAACTCATTGCGTCATCTGGTTTATGGGGTAAGATCTTGTTTTAAAATGATTGATTGCTTTTTATTGAGTTCGATAAAAAAATTCAATGCATAATGCGTCTTGCAGAACAATTAACATTTCTTTAAGTCATATGGTTATAATTGAGCCGTTGCTTACTGGAACCTAGGGGGCGCTGTGTTAAGCCTATTGGAATTAGGGCGTGTTTATGCTCAACTTTTTCTGGCCAGAATCAGGCATCTGTTACGCGTTTAGTTTAAAACACGGTTGCGTCCTTTCTCACTTTTGTAGAATCACCGAAAAACGGCGATCCCGATCGCCGATCGTAAACTCACAAAAAGGTGCGTTTACAATTTGTAAACGCGTTTAAATGGGGTCAACGCACTGACCTCTAGTAGGGTCTACGTAGCATGCACAGTGAAGGTTTGCGAATCCAGCTGCAAGGCCAATTAAGGCCACCCAGAGAGAATTACCTGGAGGAGCCACAGAAGTGAGCATAAACAGTACACCGTGGAACTGCGATTACGATGAGTGTTTACGATGTGCGTTTCAAATCGCTCATTCTGCCTTCAAAATTGAGCTCAAACGCACCCTTAGATAATTCAGTAGCCAATGGGTTAATCCTGCATCATTCTAATTAATGACATGAAAGAGTGTGCTGTAAATCATTACCTACAGTAATGAAAAGTGAACCTCTTTAAAAGCTGGGCTTGAAGAAATGTATTCCAGAGAATATTGACAGTTCTACCATTCGAACGGGGGAGGAGTGCAGTCCCGTGCCGCCCCTGCCAAGAACTCCTAATAATATAGTAATGATAGCATTACTATTCAAGTGATGTTACGGTTAAAAGTGGCGGTACGTGGATCTAAAAAATAGGAGCGGGGCCTAAAAGAGAGAAACTTACATTTTGAGAGCCTAGACTGCTGGTTGAGATTATTTGTGTATGGATAATGCATTTTTATACTTGATCTTGGCTTCCACGGAGCGTGAAAGACAAGTGGCTGTTTTGGTGAAACGCGACCTGATTTTGCACAAAATTGCAAGCGATGAATGTCTGAGAACAACAAAAATATGATGAAACAAATAACTACACGTAATTCGAGCTTTGATGTAAATGAAGGTACAGACGTAATCCGTTTGCACAGCCGCAATGTATTGACGCGAGCGGAGAAGGTCCTACACCAACATTTCAGGTGATGTACAACAATGCGTCAGTTGATATCTTCTTTGAAAACGAAAACATTCCACAGTTTATCATGGTTAAAGGAAAATATCAACGTAAGGCCATGCTATTGATATGAGCTAATAAATATCTGTAGATTGAGTAAATTAGACCTGTGAAAAAAGAATGCGTCTGTTCTTATAGAGTCGTTGTCTATATCTAGATAAACAGGAATGTTGAATGTCCCGTGACTGGCGCGCTCAATTAAAACTTCTTTCTTCGATTGCGTTATCAACTGCGCTAATTGAGCTCAGAGAGGCAATCATTGTGAATCATTGTTTGCATCGGTAAGCCTTTGCACTGTTCATTTTGCATACACATTGTGTGCGATCTCAGCTCACTCACTCTCACGTGGCGCATCTAAAGTATGTGCCAGCCGCTGACTGACGCAGTTCTGCCTCAGCAAAGGGCGCTTTGTGTGCAACATGCATAAGGTAGCTAGTTGTTGAGATGGTATGGCCATGTGTTTAGGAGAAAGGAAAGCCATTAGCTTCAGAGAGCAATCAAAATCCAGGTTGCGGGATCAAAACCCATTGGCAGACCTCGGTAGACCTGGAAGGAGACACTAGAAGAAGTCTTGAGAGTAACTGGCCCCATCCGTGCGGATGCTGAAGACCAGAAGGTTTGGAGAAGGGCCATCAGGGAAGTGTGACGTCCAACCACACGCTAAACGATGGCGATGATGATGATGATGATTGTTGACTGATACCTCATCTTCTTGTCGTCAATTCAATATTTGGTTGCAGCTTTATTCTTTTTTATTCAGAAATTCGAGTATAAGCGACAACAAAACGGCACAGGTAAGAATAAGGACAAGCGTGAATACCATTTTGTCGACCACCCTCGCTAAAAGCCTCCATTCCTCAATGACTACATCCCGCTTGAAACTAGCAGACTGACGCCTTCTCCCATTAGACTGAAGTGTTCTTTTCTCTTTTGTCTTTGTCTGACTCTCCAGTTCAGCATTATTCTCATTGTCGACATCCGACTTATTAATCTGGGTCTCCTCCACGTCCGCATCTTCTTTCGACGCCGATGACGTGTTATCGCTCTTGTGTTCTGATTGGCCGTTGTGGGATAAGCGCATCGCGCGCATGGTGCTGACGCGGTGCAGGAGTCTGCGATGCGCGACTGGATGCGAGAGGAGAATGAGCTTTCGTAAGCAAGCGGGAACCGGCTTCTCGCCTTTCTTGTTGTAGAGTTGCAAGCTGAGAATACTGAAGGCGATCGAGAAACAGCTGCACATTACCATGAAGAGAAAGAAGATTCCTGTGGTAATAAATGAAATAAAATGTAAAAGAAATGAGTGAGTGGGAGAGGGCCGTGGGAGAGATAAAGCGAATGTTTATAAGCTTCACGGATAAATTAATTATAGAACATTGGCCAATTTTTCAAACATCTGTAATGAGTAATGTACTTCAAGGAGGAAAATCCATTTACTAATGCTGAGCTGGTCCTGCAATTACCCAGAGGGTCTCAGTCAAATATTAAAAAAGTGACCAAGAAAACGCGTATATATAAAGGGGGGGGGGTGGAGGGGTTTATAGTGGACGCGCTCCTCGCGATCCCGTGTAAAGGGGTTTAAAAAAACCGTAAAATTTCAAGAAAAAGGGTAGTTTTTCAAAATCCTGCTGTATGCGTTAATTTTTTTCTTCTAGATCCCGACTCCGAATTGAAAACTGGTCGGGAAGCCGGTAGTCTATAACTTTCGGTTACGTCAGCTTGCTCATGTAAAACCACATAAAGAAGCCCTATACTTTGCGTACCAGCATGTGAATTGTTTTTTTACGACCAGGGTTTCAATACGGCGACGACGAAATGAAATTCTGTTTTTTCAAAGAAAGGAATTATGACGGCTGTGTATTGTACTAATATGGAAGTGTACAGGTTGATGCTATTGCTTTTCTATTGAAATATAGTTTTACATTGTGAATTTCACTTCAGAAACGCAATTTGATTTATTTTAAATTGTCAACAACTTAAATGGCAATCCCTATATAGCACTTCAAAATCCTCAAGGGGCTACAAATATCCGTTTAGGGTGTGAATTTGGGAAAAAAACACTCGAAATCTTCAATAAGGTTTTATTTTGGCTGCAGAAGAAATGCTTATTTAGGGGGTGTCCGGAAAACCTGTGGTCAAGCATGCTTTCAGTATTTCTACATGACTGAGACCCTGGGGGAATTACGTTCCTACGAAAGAAATGTGGCACTTATTATATTTAGTGTGAAGTCACAGCTCACTTTGCATCTAAAATGTCATTGATTCATCCTAGACAGGGATTAATGATGAACCGTCATATCAGTTTCCCTTTGAGGTTTGAAATTAAAATGACAGCATTGAAACATTGTTGGTGTTCTAAACCCATCTAAAAAATGCCCATTGCACACACTGCTTTTCTGTAATGACATCTTAAAACTTTGTATAAAAAATGAACAGTGCAAATATTACAGTGATTATTGGCGCATGACCTATTTGCTTTGGTAGGCTGGACATATGGCTCCGTTTAGTCTCATTTCACAACGCCACCTATCGTCAGAGCATGGTCAGATTCAGCAGCCTAACATGTTAGCCTATGGACGTTTTTTTTTTAAATCGTTAAAAATTCATTTTTTGTTTAAACGAAAAGCACATCCATCCCGACGTACGTTATCACTAGCTCTTTCATTGGAGCCCTCATGTCTCATTGACTTTTGAAAGTTCACCCACCGTAATTTTTCAAAATAGGTTGCAAGCTCGTCATTGCCTATAATACACATGTGAAACAAGTCTAACTTTGTACTCAGTTGAAGATTATAGGTCGAGCACACGAAACATAAAAAGCATGAATTATCATAGATCACTTCTGCCCATTTCGTTTTGTCCATTTCATCCAACCCCCCACCGTAATTTTTCCATTTAGTAAAAGCAAACATTTTGCCGAGTTTAGCAAAAACATGAATATTCATGAACGGTCAGACAATACAGCCTTTCAGTACGTAACGTATAGTGAATGGGAATGTGCGATGATCCATGTAGGAGGTAGAGGTCAGTGGTTTGTGCTGGCAATGTTCACGCGAGCGAAAATGAGACAATCGGAGCAATATGTTCGTGCAGGTCACAGCGACGCATCGTGACGCAACCTGCACAGTGTGTTAGCAATGTTTGCATTGTTCATTTTGCATTCATTCATATTTTGTACGATACCAATCTGACATGGCGTATCAAAGATCGCGCCAGTCACTGACGCAGTCGTGCGTTAGGCAAATGACGCCTCGCGCGCATAGGGCATATTGCAGTACTCCGCACAACCATACGAAGCTCTTACCTAACAGCGGGAGCTCATCACCCAAGGGCGGCATGGTGGTGGCTATGAGCTGCTGGAACAAGATGGAGGCCAGGAGGTTGCTGACGGCAAACTGGACCTTCTCACCCGACTCCGGAGGAATAAGGTACACCAGGGTGTTGGTCAAACAGAGGGTAATACTTGGGATGATCATGTTGAAGAGATAGAAGGCATAGGTCCGAGTTAGCACAATGGTGTAGACGACCGACATATATTGGGCTGGACAGCAGTCGTATTTGTGGAACTTCTGCGTCCGGAGTACCTTGGCCAGGTTCCAGACGCCATTACCCATGAAAATATTCTTTAAAAAGAGAGAGAGAGAGAGAGAGAGAGAGAGAGAGAAAGTGTTATCGTCAAATTGATTACACGGACCTAATGGAACCGTCGAATCCAAAGCGATCCAGGGAAAAAGCTAAGAAAGATAATATTGAGCAGCTGACCCGAGCCAAGAACAATTACCTAGGGCCATACAAATTAACTGTGCATCCTTTTACAATATAAGCGTGGGTGTTATTCCCTGTTGCAGCCTTACCAGGTTAACTGGCAGATTTGGAAGCAAAACCGGCCCGTGCCTTCCTTTTTAAAACTCATTGTCAGATCTTAAAAACAAAAAAGAAAAAGAAATGTGGCCATTCTAGTTGTGTTTTAATAATTGTGTCCCCAGTCACAAAATTTAGAGCCCAAAAGGCTCCTCTCCTCCTTCCTCTTTCTCTCCCCTCTCTGTCTCTCACACACAAACACACACACATACACACCCATACACGTCCCCTTCTACTTCTCTCTTTCTGTCTCCCCTCTCACCCTTTCCCCTCCCACAGACCAACCTGAGTAGCTTCCGTTTTGTTGGAGAGGTACAGCTTCATTTGGTCCATGGTGTACACCCAGGAGCTGAAGGAGAGGTTGCACTTCTGGGTGTCGAAGGGGAAGTACCTGACATTAACACGGCAGGAACTTGTCGAGATCATCGGCGCGTACCACGTCACATAGCCCTCGTGATCTACCAGAAGCTTCGTCTCTGACAATCGAAGGAATTCCTTGTTGACGCTGTTACGAGATCAAAGAGAAAATGCAAATTAAGAGTGAGGAAAAAAACATATCTTGAGCATCGTATCGTTCAGTTTTCGCGTTATCACTTGGTAATATTTCATTAGAGAATACAGATTTATTTCTTTACCATTCTTTATTCCGAAGATGGGTATCCGTAGGGACAACTGCACCCTTGACAATAAACGCTCTACATTTACACACTAGGAAAATTCACCCGGAAAAAATGTCCTTCACAGATTAGAAAACAACAACGGGAGAAGTTGTCCTCAAGGGTACATGTAGTTGTCCAAGTGGACAGTTTTCCAAGTGGATAGCTTTTGGTTAGTTTTCCATGGGGCAATTATTCCAGGGTACTTGTCTATGAGAGTAGTGTTTTTTTAAAAGTATAGTGGTCTTAGGGGTAGATTCCAGAGAGTATAGTTGTCCCCAATGGAAGTTATATCTGGGCAGTTGTACGGGGTTTATTGTCCGGGGTCATTGGCTCATGGGGTATTTGTCATGAGGATACCTGTCCAGGGTGATAGTCCGTGAAAATGGTTGTTATACTAGTTACAATAAAGAATATGCTTTCATAATAATACAAATATTAACGGCATACGTACTTTTCATATAGTTGGATATCGGGCTTCCAAATTATCGCTTCGGGAATCTCTAACTTTGTGACGTCAGAATAGTTCTTTGGATCCCATACCAAGAATTCATCTCTCCAATCCTGTGTGGAGAAAATGAATAAAAGGCACATAACAAATAATAACAAAATAAGCTCTCAAAGACTTTAGAGAAATGGACTTGAGGGAAATTTCAATAACCCCGTTGAAAATATACTACACAAATCATGTTTGGATAATTTAATAACTCAATGTAATGTTCGCAAAGGTTATAGACAAGGTTACTGAAAATGATGAGCTTGATTTTTCGAAAAGTCTCTGCGACATTTTTGTAAGTAGTAGACCTATTCCTACGGCACACTTACTGATATAACGATACTCAGGGGCGGCGATTCCTATTCATGACCCGTTGGGGGGGGGGGGGGACGAAATGCGAGATTTTCTACAAAATGACTTATACATAATGAAGGATGTAATGCAAGGGATCGTAGCAACCGAGCGAAAAGATTTTTGTATTAATATAAACGCTGCACTCTTGGCCCTCCAGAGCCTAAACGTGTGTTGCAGTCTTTAGTCAGTATTTGCCGGGGGGGGGGGGGGGGGGAGGGGTGAGACGATAACACATTAAGCACTTTACTATTATTAAACCGTCATTAGCCGAGCTGCCCTGATAAGGCGCACTAGCATTCGAGATGTATTCTTTCTACCGGGTACCAATTTACATCACCTTGATAAAGAGTGACAAATCCAGTTTAATGTTTTTCCGAAGGACATTGTAGTGCCGCGGCGGGACTCGAACCGCGGACCATGTGATCCATAGTCCGTTGACGTATCCGCTAGACCGCGACACGTCTACCATCTCTACCACCGAATGAGCCCCGAAGCAGTACACTTCTGTACAATTCTAGAAAGAGAGCTTCTTTTTGTTGTAACCCGGTCATTATTTCCGTTGTTTCTATATACAAGGGCACACAAACAAACAGAAAAAATATTCCGAATTTTGTTTCACATGCATGACCTACCGGAGCTTGTCCTTGACGATAACTTTCAAAACGGTTCTTCTACTAAACTGCTACCCGACGACACATTAAATGCACTTGGTAATGTTAAATCAAACTTGACATCCAGACTATACTAATGAAGGAAAATCGGTTATGCACTTACTCTAGGGAAATCAAAAAGGGTCAATATATTATCACATGAACACGTGATAGTAAGAGCGATCATGTGACAATTTCGACGTCAGGCCACGGGGGAATAACAAATTATACACGAGTAACATGATGTCAAAATGATGATTTGATTGTCTGCTGTTTTTTTATTCTTCAAAATTAACGATATTGATTTTAATCTACTTTCTATATTCCTTATCAGATAATCACTAAAATGACGGGTCCAGAGAGTTGAAGGGATCACACGCCCTCCCCGCGAAACCATCGGGTCGGGAGGAGAATGTTACACGGTCTAGCAGCATAATGTCCGCTCTGTCTTCGCCTACGAGCTGACTCTGCTATGTTCTACAGCACACCTGAATGACAAAGCTTGTCGCCCTGTTTCCACGCATACCGGCCCCCTTTTTGTAAAGAGCGGGGGGGGGGGGGGTGGGGGGCTCGTACTTTTTCTTTAAAGACCTGTGCCCTCAAATACTGGATCTGCTAACGGCGCCTTTATATACATCCTTGGTCATCGATATCGAGATAATATGTAATGTTCCATTTGTACCTCCTCTCGCTTACATTATGTATTTTTGTCAATTACCAGAATAACTGGTTTCGGAAATTTCAATTTTGTCTCTAAAGTCCTCAGAATTATGGGGAAGAAAACCCAAAAGGAAGTTGATAAAATGTTGCCCCTTTAAATGTATATCACACAGCACAGTACAAGAGGTAAATATGGCGGCATAAATATCCCAAGAAAAACAGATTTACAAACTGTTTAAATCATATTGCTTTCTCCTTCTCTTCCAATTTTCTTACTCTCTCGTTCTAATTCGGGGAGGATATTGAACTATATTCACACTATATATGTCCAAGCCCAAAACTCAATCCAAACTCAATCCTTTATAATGCCAACCAGAAATGTGGTATGAGTTGTCAAGGTCTGGCAATAAAATGAAGTTGATATATCATGCTAGTATGCATATGCTATATCTAACTGTGGAGTTGAACATTGTCAAATATTATTAACAGGACATGTTTACATGCTACAATTTAGTGTCTTCAACAAATGGCCATGCTGTTAGAGACTTCAAATGAGCTATGCACACGTATATTTTCCATCTGTAAATTGATATATATATATATTAGATAGCTTAGACAGATACCGAGATGTGATTGGTCCAGAGCTCGTCACGTGATATCAATTGCGAGGATCCAAATTGTTATATTTTCCTGGCCGGTCACTTTTCAGTGTTATATTATACCGGCTGGTGAAATGAATATATTTTTAATCAATGCATGTCGCCCTCTTGAGGACTGTATGTCACCAACTACATACATTACACCATTATCGAGGGCCATTTTATTTTTTCAATATTTTTTTTTTCATGAATTTTTTTCCCCCCAAAAAATGCTTTTTTTCCCCCAAAAAAATGCTTTTTTGGGTAATTTTTTTTTTTAATAATTTTTTTTGTTTCCCGAAAAATGCTTTTTTGGGTAAGAATTTTTTTTTTTCCCCCAAATTCTTTTTAATTTTTTTTAATTTTTTTTTTAAAGGTAATCTCGACAAATTATTTTTCCGTAATTTTGATTGTCCCCGAAAAAAAAAATAAAAAATTTCGGGCTAAAAAAAAATATGGACCCCCCCCCCCCCCCCCACAAAAAAAAAAAACCAAGGCTATCTAATATAACAGTTATTGACTGGCAGGGGGTATATAACATTCTTTGGACCTGAAGGGAGTTATATTTTCCCTCGTGACCATATTTTCCCTCAGCGCTGCGCGCTTCGGGAAAATATAACCACTTGGGAAATATAACTCCCTTCAGCGGTCCAAATAATGTTATATTACACCCCCTGCCAGTCAATAACTGTATAATATGAAGAAAATAACAGGAAATCTAGGGTGAGTTTAACTGATGAATGTATTTGAAGGAAAAATGTGTCCAGGATGTACTTAAGCGCTGGGGAATGGAAAACGAAAGGTAGTTTGCCACATCAAGCATGTTCTATATAATAGGCCCTAGTTTCTATTTATCAATTTAATTGTCTTCCATTAGACATGAACAACTATGATATTAGTTTTCCATTAGGAGCTCTCTAGGTTCTATTTCCATCTCACCTTTCAAGAGTGAATCTGCATGGTTACGTGCGACAGTGTTTGCTATGTCTGACTATGACGCCGATATCAGAAAACAGTTCCTCACGAAACATTTCATATCAAAGTACTCTGAAATGTATCCATTACAAACTGCTTGGAGGAATCTCAGATTTCAGATTGGTATGGAGAAACATGGCTCTCCATACGTAGACAAAACTATTGTAGTCTGGAAAAGCATTTATAAAATGATATCTATCGTCCTTTTTTCACAAAATGATATGGCCAATGTAGTTATATTTTGTTTAACCTCCACAGTACAAAATGTTGCAATTAAGTTTAAATTATACTTTAAAGGTTCCGAATACAGAAGCGTGGCAACGGGGGGGGGGGGGGGGGGAGGGGGCACGGGCATGACGAGAAAAAAAAAGAAAAAAAGGGAAACAAAAAGAAAGAAAAAAGTGCAAGGGGAATCACAATTTGCTCCTTACACCAAAATATATTAGAGCATGTAGAAGAAACAGCGAATCATTTTATTTCAAAAGAGCCGAAAGAGTAAAGAAGAAGAGGAAGAAGAAGATTAAGAAGAAGAAGAAGAAGAAGAAGAAGAAGAAGAAGAAGAAGAAGAAGAAGAAGAAGAAGAAGAAGAAGAAGAAGAAGAAACCAACCAGAAAACAGACTTAAGATGTCAAGGTCGTAGGTTCGAGCACCAGCGCGGCACTGGTGTCCTTTGACAAGACAATAATCTACATCTGCCCCTCTCTTCCCAAGTGTTAAATGGCTACCGCAGCACAAGTCCGATCTTTAAACATGTTTTAAAAAACAGAAAATTCTACTCGTCTTAAAAGTGAAAGAAAAGACCATTTAATAGAGAGACTAGGAACTATATGAAGATTATGAAAAAGGTGGGGGTTTTTTCTTTAGGAGAGACTGATGATAGAGGTAACATAAAATCATTATGAATATGTCTTCTTCTAAAGATCGAGTTTACTAGGGTGGAGACAAAAAATAATTTGACATATATACAGTGCGACCCAGAAAAAACGAAACCGAGAATTGTCGATGTTTTATCATAACTTAGTCACATTTATAATTGATAAATGACACATATTTGTAAAGCTGAGATCCTCTTCTTTCATTTGATGCAACTCATATGATGCATATTTCACGCATGAGTGATTAAAATGAATTAGAAGACAGGAAACCAAAAAGTCATTTGGCGGATGTTATCTGAATTTCAAAGAGAAAATCACATTTCCAGAAATTTGAGTTTCTGCCCTTTCATATGACACCTCAATCAGGAAAAATGAGCCAGGAATAACAAAGTTATGTTTGTTTAAAGTAGTGCTTGCATTTCCATACTTTTAAACGAATTCGTTTTCACTGGCTGCCTTTCGTAGCAACAAACGGAATTAACAAAAGACTTAACTCCGTTTCGTTGACAATCAGCCGTAGACGAAGGACTTCATGCATGGCTGATTGTCAACGAAACGGAGTTTAGTCTTTTGTCAACGGTTCACATGTACTTTTGATAACATGTTTTTGTTATACTGGTAGTACATCCATTATATTTAATTATCAATGCCCCTATTAATTTTGCATGGTCAGCTAGAACAAACACATGCACCCGACATGTGACACAACTATATCCCAGCCTGACGATAAATATAACAATTTTATAGATAAAATTCTACGAGCTGCTGGAAAAAAATTATGGATATTAATGGAGGCAATCAATTAGCAGACTAAACCACGATATATGTATGAAACACGGTGGGGAGTTGTACTCCTGAAGGCCGAAATCGCAGTAGACATAAAGAATAACTCACGCTATAATGGTCCGTCATACAC